CTCAAGTGCAGAACAGCCATGTCCTCGTACAAAAAGGAAAAGTGTGCCGACCGGTAGGTGTCCGCCGTAGGCACGCAGACTACCCTGCCACTTATTTCACCTTTTTTTTTTTTTTTTTTTCTCCGCTTGCTGTCATTTCCCTTTAGTTTACTCAGTGAAACAATTTGTGACGGACTCCTGATAACACTGAATCCTACAGCGAATAACATAAGGAATCCAGTGGAAAAAGGGGCTGTTATCGTGGTTTCTGCAGAGGGAGAGGCAGAGGGTGGTGATTAAGGGCCCAGAGTTTTTGCTGTTGTGGCTGTTGCAGGTGTATCAGACCCACACAAGAAGAGTTGGACAACTTTGGCGAGCCCGATTTCGTGATTTACAATGCTGGGAAATTTCCTGTGAACAGACTAACTCCTGGAATGACATCAGCAACAAGTGTTGATATCGACCTCCGGAGGTGAGTTGATTGCAGCAGGGGTCTTGGAGCTGTGCTAAGTAGACACAAAGTGAGTGGCTTGCCAGTTTTTCTTTCTTTCTGTCTTTCTTTCTTTCTTTCTTTCTTTCCGTCTCGTTACTGAAACAAGTGACATCCGTTGCATAAAGTCTCTGAGGATCCCAAACAGCTCTGCGGTCGCTGGCTAGGGCGAGCGGCCGTACTTTGCATTTTCTTGACTTTGAAAGATTTGTCAGTGCTTGATCTCTTGCCATTGGGTCGAAAAAGGATGGTAAAAAAGAGCCTGAAAATAAACGAGCAAGTATGGCAGGCAATTTTGGAGGTTGTGAATACTCGTTGGAATTCAACTGCCTGATATCCTCCCCGTCTCTGAACCAGTTGCTTCCTTTTGGACTCGAGTGTGCACAACAATTGTTTTTCAGAAATTTAGAGGTATCTTACAAAATTTGCCCTTTTTTTCCCCAGAAATTTACAGGTGTCTAACTTAATTAAAAATTTACCATTTATTTTTCAGAAATTTAGAGGTATCTTACAAAATTTACCATGTTTTTTCCAGAAATTTAGAGGTATCTTACAAGATTTACCATTGTTTTCGAGAAATATAGAGGTATCTACCGTATCTTACGAAATTTACCGTTTTTTTAATTTAGAGGTAATCACCGTAATCTTACAAAATTTACCAATTTTTTTCCAGAAATTTAGAGGCATCTTACAAGATGTTACTGGGCTCATCTGTGGAATGCCTGTTTGCTTATGTTATGTGCATGATGACGGTTGTGTGACGCTCACGCTTGCCAGAGCTTGGTGCCACAATTGCCCCTTATCAAAATGGAGGTCATGCAGTATAATTGCATGATGACGGTTGTGTGATGCTCACACTTGCCAGAGCTTGGTGTCACAATTGCCCCTTATCAGAATGTAGGTCATGCAGATAGTTTTTCAAGGTGTACTTCACGATTTTGCAAAGAAGTGTAAAGGACTGGGGAACTGGCAGCGAACTTGTTGTGTGCAAATTTCTGGAGTAGTCGGGCCTTTTGAGGCTCTTGTAGTATTTTCTAGTGTACACGAGTTGCTTTCTGAAGTTCAGCGAAGACATTGTGTGGTGAATCTGGTGATCAACAGACTGAATGACATGTTGTATTCGGACTGAGTCGGAGTTGTAGTCGATCAGTGCAGTCTAGGGCAGCAGAGAGGTACCGTGTACCCCTGAATGAGGCCGTGTCTGTCACATGGCGGAAGTGCCTTGTGGAGTTGCCAGGTGGAGCAGTGTGGACATTGATCTCTTGACACCTTGTAAGAGGCAATGCCTTGAAGTCAGTCTTAATGTGTGTGTGTGTGTGTGTGTGTGTGTGTGTGTGTGTGTGTGTGTGCGAGTGTGTGTGTGTGTGTGTGTGTGTGTGTGTGTGTGTTTTCATTTGTTTTACGGTTTGCTTTGCAAGGTGCATTCTCTTA